CAGTGATAACTCGACCTTGAAGTTTTAGCTCCTTTGCAAAACCTTCAAGCCACAATGCTTCCTTCACAGCTTTAGTTAGGGTAATATACCCGGCTTCAGTGGTTGATAAGGCAACGACCTTCTAAAGTGTTGCTTTCCAACTAATTGATGTCCCAAACATAGTGAACACATATCCAAAGATAGATTTTCTGGAATCCATACAACCTGCATAATCAGAGTCGACATATCTTTCGATTGCTGCTTTACTATCTTCACCCAAGGCTCCACCATAAATTAGGACTCTATTCAGAGAGCCATTTATGTACCTTAAAATCCACTTTAATGCTTGCTAGTGAGCCTTTCCAGGATTCGCCATGTACCTGCTTACAAGACTTACTGCATATGCTATGTCGGGTCTAATACAGACCATAGCATACATTAAAGAACCTACTATGTTAGCATATGGAATGCTATTCATATAAGTTCTTTCAACATCAGTGTTGGGACACTAATCTATACTCAGCTTAAATTGAGGTTTTGTTGGAGTCACAACAGGCTTTGAATTCGACATACCAAACTTTTCGAGAATCTTCTGTAGGTATGCCTCTTGAGATAAGCATAATTTCGACTGCTTTCTATCTCTCCGGATGTCAATCCCAAGAATCCTGGACGCAGTTCCCAGATCCTTCATGTCGAACTCTTTATTGAGTTCAGCCTTCACCCTCATTACCTCTCCGACATTGTTGCTTGCTATTAGAATATCATCCATATAGAGCAACAAAATAACAAATGAATTACCCGGTCGAAATCTGAAGTAAACACAGTGGTCGAACTGGCTTTTGATGAAACTTATGTCTGCCATGAACTTGTCGAATCTCCTATTCCACTATCGAGGAGATTGTTTCAGTCCATATAAAGATCTATTCAGTTTGCACACATAATCTTCCTTCCCCCTTTCAACATACCCTTCAGGTTGCCTCATCAGGATTGTTTCATTTAGATCACCATACAAGAACGTAGTCTTCACATCCATATGTTCTAGTTCAAGGTCGAACTGGGCCACCATGGAAAGCAACATTCAAATGGATCTGTGCTTTACAACAGGAGAGAACACATCATTGAGTTCGATACCTTCTTTCTGAGTGAACCCCCTAGCAACCAATCTTACCTTGTATCTCTTCGACGTCACTCCTTCGATTCCTTCCTTAACTTTGAAAATCCATTTACAGCTGACTAACTTGGCTCCATCAAGTTTCTTGATCAGTTCCCAGGTGTTGTTATCATGAAGAGATTTCATCTTATCATCCATGGCCTTCAGCCATTTAGTCTTCTTTCGAATCCTCATAACTTCCTTATAGTCTCTAGGTTCTTCATCTAGAACCTCACTAGCAGAGGTTAAGGCATAAGCTATAAGATCTGCATACCCAAGTCTCTGAGGTGGCTTGATGACTCTCCTCGACCTGTCTCTTGCTAGAAGGTAGTCATTATCAATCTCCTCATCTTCGACAACATCTTCTGCGTCTTCTTCGACTTCATCTGGGGTAAGAAATTCAACATCAACATGCTTAACCTCAACAGGAATCTCTCCCTGTTCCAGCTCTTCGTCAGCATCATCAATTTTCTTGAAATCCATCTCTGCTTCATTGAAAACTACATCTCGACTGGTGATACACCTCCTGTGACCTGGATCTAGGCACCATAACCTATAAGCTTTGACTCCTTCAGGGTATCCTATGAATGTGCACTTCAGAGCTCTAGGTTCGACCTTGTCTTGCCTGATATGAGTATAGGCCATGCAACCAAATACTGTCAGTTTGTCGAGACTAGGTGGATGTCCCGACCAAACTTCTTCAGGTGTCTTCATTCCCAAGGCAGTCAAGGGACATCTATTTATCAGGTAAGCTACTGTCGAAACAGCTTCCGCCCAAAACACCTTTTTCAATCTAGCACTAACCAACATGCATCTGACCCTTTCAAGGATTGTTCGATTGAATCTCTCAGCTAAGCCATTTTGTTGAGGAGTACCTGCTACAGTCTTATGCCTTGCAATCCCAGGCTCAACACAGTAACTGTTGAACGCTTTGTTGCAGAATTCAAGGCCATTGTCGGTTCTCAACCTCTTAATCTTTCTGCCAGTTTGAGTTTCGACCAGAATCTTCCAATTTTTAAAATTCTCAAAAGTTTCATCCTTCGTCTTCTGAATGAGTACCTATAGCTTTCTAGAATAGTCATCAACGATTGGTAGAAAATACCTTGCACCTGAGTGTGAAGGATTTCTTGCAGACCCCCAAAGATCAGCATGAATGTAATCCAGGGATCCATGTGTTCTTTGCTTGCCTTTGTTAAACTTCGCCCTACAGGATTTACCAAATACACAAGATTCACAAAATTCCAACTTTTCGACTTTGTCACCTCCTAGCAGGTTCTGCTTCCCCAATTCGACCAGGCCTCTTTCGCTGACACGGCCCAATCTCATGTGCCATAATTCTGTCTTCGATATAAGTTTCGTGGATGAAACATTTGTCGAACCACTTACACCCTCAGCCTCAAGGGTATACAAGCCTTGTTTATTCACGCCTCTCAAGACTTCCTTCTACCCCTTCATGACTCTTAGGATATTTTTCTCTCCTTAAAAAACATATCCTTTTCTGTCGAATTCACCAAGAGGAATCAAATTTCTCTTCAAGTCAGGTACGTACCTGACTTCAGTCAATAACCTTATTGACTCATCATGGAGCTTGAATCTCACAGATCCAATACCTGCAATTTTGCAAGATTTGTTGTTTCCTAGCAGCACAGATCCGCCATCTTGATCACATAGCTCCTCGAACAATTCTCTGTTTGGAGTCATGTGCCAAGTGCAACCTGAATATATAATCCACTCTTTCCTCGAGTCGCCACTTGAAACCACAAGAACATCAGATGAGTCGAAGTCATCTTGAACAATGGCTGCATTGACATTACCTCCATGATCTTTCAGGCGTTCAGGGCACACCTTTCTTATGTGACCCTCCTTCTTACAGTGATAACATCGAATACTAGATGTTTCGCCACTATAAGACTTCTGTTGACTTTTACCTTTCTTCTTGTCGAACCTACCATCCTTTCGCAAGAATTTTCCCTTAACGGCCAAACCTTCGCCCACCGTCGAAGGTTTATGCTCCTTTCATTCGTTCAAGTCCTTAGAATACAAGGCTGATTGAACTTCTTCAAAGGTCAGGGACTCCCTTCCATACAAGAGAGTTTCTTTGAAGTGAGCATGTGTTCTGGGCAAAGCACACAACAACAACAGTGCTTGATCTTCATCATCGATCTTCACATCAATATTTTCAAGATCAAGAATCAGCTTGTTGAACATATCCAACTGCTCAGCCAACACTTTATCTTCACTCATCTTGAATGAATATAAAGCTTGCTTCAGGTAGAGTCGATTCACCAGAGATTTGGTCATGTACAAACTTTCAAGTTTCACGCATAATCCCGAAGTTGTAGTCTCCTTTGATACCTGTCGAAGAACCTTATCACCAAGGCTCAACAATATTGCGCTGTGGGCTTTCTCGATCATGTCCGTCTTTTCTTTTGCCGTTAACGCAGCGTCCGTGGCTGTCTCACCTTTCAACGCTTCCAAACAGCCCTGCTGAACCAATATGACTTTCATCTTCAAGCGCCACAGACCGAATTCGTTCACTCCGGTGAACTTTTCAATCTCATACTTTGTTGAAGGCATCTTCTCCACGCTCACCGCACCAATTTGTTGTGAATCGGATACCTTTAAACAAAGTATAAGCGGTTTCTTATCAAGAAACACACAAGGTTAGGGTTAATAAAGAAGAAAAGGTAAAACAACAAGGAACAACAAGGTTTGGTTATTAAACTGCTATTCTTTCCTTTCTCTTAAAACAAGATTACGAGTATACAAGAATAACAAAATAACCTCTCTCCCTTGAAATTAGGATTTTATCTTCCTATTTTTCCTTATGACAAGATTGAGAAACTAGCATCCTATTTATAAGAAAAATAGCACACTAACCTAATGGGCTTTTTAACAATTACCCATTACAAGCCAACTTAGGGTACAAGCTAACTTAAACAATTGGGCTTACAACCAAGACCCAATTCAACATGCTAACAACCCTAGCAATATTGACTAATGCATGTTAGAACAAACTTTGACTACAACACGCATTACTCGCGAACAAATTTCGACTATACTAGAGTTCGATCCAACTTCTCACAAACACCGAAAAGGTTGACATTACACTAAACTTAGTTCTTAGATTGCAACAAAATCTACGGATTTAGAAGAAATGAACTCCTTGACCCTAGACTTTTCAATGATGCTTCCAAGACCACAAACATTAAAGAATTCTATCAACATTGAGAACGAGTTCTATTCATTCGGGCAACTTTCTGCTAGAAATCTCTTTTCTCTAAACCAACTAATCTACCTACTTCATCCTCCTCGCCTAACTTAAAGAAACAACCATGCTGTTCATTTAACTTAATAATTTCAAAACCACATTCTTATCAATAATCTCAAGACACTCAGAAAAACTAAAAAAATCAAAATAGAACGTTCTAAACGAGTAGCACTGGGAAGAAGAGTATCTCCAAGGCTTAACAAACAAGATAAGTTTCCAGATATCCAAATCTTTCTCCAAAATAAAAGTTGGAATACTATACTGCAAACAGAAGTCAATAGAAACACAAAGCGTAAGAAATAAAAATGCATAATGGAAACCATAAATATGTTATTTTAGCTGGTATAACATGCATATATATTTATTTTTAACACATAATCTATTTCCTCTTTTATTTTTTAAATAGTAGATTAAGAAAAACAACAACAACACCAAAAACATATAGATGCTAGATAGTCCAAACAAGTTAAGACATAAATGGAAAAATTACATATTGCCAAAGACACAATAGCCATGTCAAGCATTGGGGAGAACCAGATAGAAAACATGCATATGTAGTATGATCTAAAAGGAAAGATCAGTTTATTAATTAATTATAGCTTAATTATCTTCAACGACCAATTCCTCAATCCCATGGTTGATCAGTGGTTTGAAAGCTTGAACCTCATCAGAACAACAGTGCTTGTTTGGCAACAAAACCATGGGATACTTCCTTGCTATGACAACTGAATTGATAACTTCATCCATTGGATGAAACACAGAGAGGACCTCAAAACCCGGAAGATTACTGGTATCAACAACCGGATAGAGAAAAGCACGAGCACCATGAGCACTCCTCAGCATGAGGACTGCTCCTGGTGCCATGTTCTTAGCAAGATGGTCAATGATTCGATTCTTTTCCTCAACGTTCATTCCAACAAGTGCTGCTAAATAAACAACTTCATATTCTTTCAAAGCATTAGAAACATCTAAAATATCATTGGTGAAAAAAACCATACGCTTTGATAATTCAGGATCAGAGGAAACTAAGCAAGAAGCTTTGGAATTGGCTAAAGGGTCAATATCATAGTTATGAAAGATTGTGTTTTGCAAGTGGTTTGAGGCTAGGACAAGTGAAGTAAGTGGAAGTGGACCTGACCCAATAAAGGCAATTTTTTTAGGGATATTAGTGGAGTGGTTGGTTAGGATATTGAATTCAAGGAGACTGAGTTTGAGGTAGTTTGAATAATAAGGGAAGATGTTGAGATGATTCAGTGGATTATTGTATGAAGCTATGATGGTTGAGTAGTGGCTTTCTAAATGGCCTTCAGCTTCACCACATAGCCTAATGAGTTTGGATCTGATTTCTTGAACTTTTGTGCTTAGTTTGGTGACATCTATTGGACTTGGTGGCATGCATGTGAGAACAAGTTTGGTGAAAAGTGTGTCAACATTTTTGCAAGGTTTGAGTGTGTCTAAGCTTGAGATTTGTTCGTATAGCTCGCAGACTTGTTCGATCAATAAATCTTCCTTGCAAACCATGTCGACACTATGAGGTACTTGCTCAAGAATAAGAGAGAACAAAGGTTACAACTCACAAGTCACCATGCATTGGGATGTGTCAATATTTATACTCACTCGGAGGGCCCACACCCCCTTAAGACTTTATTTTGTATCTTACTTTTTTCAATTTATTTTCTGATCAATTATACAAGTATAATTTTTGAAACATATAAAATTTATCAACTTTGGAGTTATATGTTGAGGAATGCTAACAATTTCTTCTTAATACTCTTTTCAACACTTATTCTTTTTATTAGTTGAATAGAACGTATATGTTAGAGTCATTTTTATGTTTCATTTAATATAAGAGTGAGTGTTGAGAGTATTAAAAGGAGATGTGTTCTTAACACTCATCTTTATATATTTAATTGGTTGTATATATAAAGTGTTTTATTAAGCATTGACTAATAGATTCAAGCATACTAGTAATTGCAAAAATATGCTTAGTTTTTATTAAAGGCTTTTAAGTTTTGGGTAGGATACATTGAAGATAAGAAAAGAAAGAAAAAAAATTATATTGTATAAAGTTGACTTTAAAAAGAATTATCATTTAGTTAGTTGAAAATATATTAATTTTTTATTGACATAGCTTTTGAGTTTTTAGAACAAAGAAGTAATCTAAAATGGGCCATGAGGCTCCCCAACACATGAAGATAGGTTGTTCGAAATAAAGTCGTAAGTCACCCAAAATGGGGCCATGAGGCCGCTCAATTGGACTTACACGAATTAACTCATTCATGGAATAGAGGAAACTGTCTATCGACTCTCTAGCTCAAATCTAAGAGATCGTCTATAAATACTTCAGTTCATAATTGAGGAGGTAGACTTGACACCAATATAGAAACACACAGACATAACTTGTCACTTCTATATGAGCTAACTTTCAACCTCACAATGATCCTTAAAGCCTATGAAATCTCTTAACTATTAAGATTTGTTACGCATTTGTACTTTTAACAAGTATAATTGATATCTACTGTGGGATCTAGTAAAACTGATTTGCGTCTTAAGTTCAAATTACACGAATTTGCTACCGATGGCGAGGAGGTCATTATCGTTGTAGTGCTTCAAACTTGGAAAAAAGTTCGTAGCGACGTCACAGTTTTCGCCTTGTCAGGTATTATCACCGTCACCAACACTCTCTATCTTGTCCGAATATGGATGATTTGAAGACGTTAAAGTTGATCTCAAGACAAGTTTATTGAAAAAGATTTGGTGCATTATAACAATATAAACTAAACTATTATACAAAATGAGAAAAGGAAATAAACTAAACTATTACGCAAAGAAGTGAAGTGTGTCAAACTGCCACATGAGTATCAAAATTAAACCTAACATAATTAATCTTGAAAACATAGATATATCAAGCAAGATCGCTAACAAAATTTAAAGGTGGGACAAACACAAGTCTATGTTTTAATTAATTATTTTTATTGTTGGATAAGGTGAGTTATTGTCTCTGACGTTTATAATTTTTTTAAGAACACTTTAAACTTACTATGAATAAGGGGATGTCACTCTTTTTCCTTATGTGAGTATGATTTTAATGAGGTGTCCAATCTTTGCCTTGTTACAATTTTTACAAAGACACATTCTAAAAATTCATCAATGTGGTGTTTGGAATGACCAATCTATGGTGAGAATTTCTCTGCTTATTTAAAATATAACATTATTAAAATAATTGTTAAGATAAAGCATTTAAGTTACAATATTCTATTGTTATTATGATTTTAAATAATGGATTAAATAGAAGAAAAACAAATATTTATATTAAAATACAAATGATAGTATATATAATGAATGTAAGATTTAAATTATAGGATTTTTATGCACTTATATCAAAATACAAATGATAGTATATATAATAAATGTAGGATTTAAATCGTAGGATTTTTATGATTTTTTTACTCAAATAATTTAATTTTTGGAAATTTTTTCTAAAATATCCCACATTTTAAAAATATTTTCAAAGTATCCCAGTTAGGGTTTGAGCTTATACAAGGGCACCATTTCAATTGGCGATCCTTTGTTGAGGGTATAAGGGTATCTCCAATTGGATTGGAGACACTTCATGCAGTCTCTAATCCAATTGATGACTTGGTTATGTACTTAGAAGGGTGTTGCCAATTCATCTGTAGACCCCTTGTATTTTGAAATTTTTTTGCAAAAAATAAATAATTATAAAAATGATTAATAAAATAGTTGATATTATGAATATTATCAAAAATAATTATTTATTTTTTTTGAAATTTTTATATAAACTAAGTCAGAGGAGAAAATAAATATTATCATTAATTAAAAAACGTATTACATAGACTAATATTGGCGACCGAGTTGGTCATATCGGCCACCGGTTCCACATCTCCTAGGAACCCTAACTCGTTGCGCTTGTCCCCCTCGTTGTTGATTCACACCAGATGTTTGAAGAGTTGAAGTCTCAGGAACATTCTCAGATGGTTCCCAAAGGATTTCTTGCATTTCCATTAGGTCATGTGTGTTGAAACTGAGCGTGTGACCCATGGCAGAGTAGTTCGGATGTGATGAAGGGGTCATTGGTGTGCGGCTGGACGGTTGAATGGGGATATTGGTGCGAATGATTCATTGGTGAGAGGTTGAAATAGTAGTGGTGTTTGAAAGCCATAAGGTTGTTGAGTTGGTTGAGTGGGTAGGCCAGGGAATGATGTCGGGGAGTTTTGGCTATGGAAAGATGTTTGGGCGTTATGGCTATGGTATGATCTACCCTCGTTATGGCTATATCTTGATGTTGTGTTAGGGCCATAGTCATATTGGATTTCTGGGTAGTAGTCAGTGTGTGTGAGATGGTATGGGGGACGCTCTTGGTATTGTGGTTGGGTGTTTGGCATGTTCGGATGGTGAATGCGTTGGTAACTCTGTTGGGTAGGGGGTTGTGAGTAATATGGCCTTTCTGGTGGATTAGACGTTGATGCCTCTTGTGTGTATGTGGTTTGCCGTGGATCGTATTGTCACACCCTCATTTTCACCTTTAGTCTTTCATACCCTACATTCGCCATATCATACAGTGTTCTATTGCATATCGAGCATATGGATTCACAAGGTGAGGATTGGGTCAATTCGTTTATTTTCCATTCCAAATAAGAAAATTGTCTATCTTGGGCTACATGGAAGAAAAGGTTCATCATCTAAGGTTGGATCTAAGATGGAAAGTCTACTCATGTAGATTCTTTCAAGGAGAAGTTACTTGAAAAAATATTAGGATATTCAAGACCAAAATTCCTAATGAACATGAAATGCACGGCCTAATTCAAGATTTCTTCATCCAACTTTGTTTCAAATTCTTGATCAAGAGAAGTTCAAATTTGCAAAGCATGAGTCAAGATCACAAGTGCATAATTCAAGACTTCATCCATTTCAAATAATGGTATAAGGGAAATCCATCATTCAAAGTTCAAGATTCATGAATTCAATGCAAGAATATTACAAAGAGAAATTTCATGACATTACAAGAATGTCATTTGTTACAAAAATTTCCAACTCTAAGTAATGTTTAGAAATTAATCTATTTCTAATCTTAATTCAAGTCTCTAATCAAATTCATGCAATGGTACCCTTCATGCCCCAACAAGTTTACATGTTCCACATCATGCCCAAGAAAAATAATTAGGATACAACTTAACATTGGAACATGTCAAGATCAAGACTATGCTTGCTTAGCCATGGGTAATTTTAATGTGATCCAAAACAACCCCATGCAAGAAGTGACAATTTGCCTCATGTCACAAAGCCAAGGCATGTCATAAGACCAAGGGAATAAACTTATGGTGATGTATCTACACATCAAATATCAGAATTTTAAAAATCTGTCCCAAGGTAGTAATATTGACCACAAGGGCAGTCCAAACACAAGCCAACAAATGGGTACAAGGTTTGAGGGTAATGTAGAGTGCTGCAGAAAAAAAGATAGCATAGGCAAGTAGTGCAACAAAAATGCAGCATAGCAACATACATGGAAATGGAAAGAAAGAGAGTGACATGAGGAAAGTGGCAAGAAACATTTCTCCATGAAATAATTTGATGTTTTGAAAGTAGGAAAAACCCTAATGTGCTGAGATAAAAGAGGAGAAGGGGCTTCAAACAAAGGGACTATTCACTACACATTAATATAGAGAGAGATAGAGAGCAAGAAACATTGAAAAACCAGAAAAAAGAGAGTAAGAAAAACAGAAAAAAGGATTGAAAAGAAAACCTTGAGAGAACAAAAGAGTGTTAGAAAATCAGAAGGAGGAGGACATCCAACAAAACCATTGGTGGAGAAGGAAGCTAGTAGCTATTGGGTATCCTTCCTTTAAAACTCTCACCTCTTTACATTTTTTACATGTTTTATTTTCATGTGTTTTTGCTTATGTTGTATGTTGTAATAAGGTCTTGATATGACCAAGAAATGTTGTAAGAAAACAAAGAAAAGAGAAAGAACATAGTGTAGCTGACATAGTAAGATGAGTTGAAAAATACTCATCTTTATTGTCATGTTCGCCTAGCGAACACTTCCTTCGCCTAGAGGACAAGCTTTTGTGGTGCTAAATGTACCATTGAACAACCTATTTTTAGCCTACAAGGTGTTCGTTGGCAAGTTCTCCTAGCGAACTTTACCCCATTTTGCCTCTGTTTTCGTTCGCTAGCACCTTCGCACAGTGAACTTCTTGCTGTTTTTTCTGGGCACCTTCACTGAAACCTTCGCCTAGCGAACTTTGCCCACTTTTCTAAGGAGTTTGCATGCCGTTTATTTTCGTGTTTTATGTTGTTTATGCTGACTAACCCGATGTGGTTGAACGACCATTGTATTTGAACATTATTATGGTTATGTTTGACTTTTGGTTCCAAAACTATTTTCAAAAATAAACTCTTGATTTCATCGAGCCATTTTCACCCTTGTAAGTCGATCGCCTTGTGCGTTCGCCATCGACCTTGTTCGCATCACTTCCAAATATTTTTACGAACAA